CGTTCCTCAGGAACGCCGCGGGACGTGACAAAACGTCGGCATGTTACGCCTCGGGAGTGAGAACGGGCTGTGAATGCGTATGAATGTTAGATAGAGCACTTAAGAGCTTAGAGGAAGTGCTTGTGTTAGTTGTATGAAGTGCTTCGATTAGAAAAGCATTATATAAGAACCAGTCCATTTACTATTGATGAGAAATGAGTTGAGTAATAAAAACGTTTCTAATTTGTGGATTTTGTATGCATAGATGTGATCCGGTTTCAACAGACAGATTAGTCTCTGTCTGTGTTGCCAACCCATCATTACACATAATTCTGACAAAGAGAAAGGGTATTAAGTGTTGTAACTGTGTGTGTGGACAAGAAGGATGGGAGGAGTGAGTGAGGAGCAGCACTGAGCAGCAAAAGAACGTCTGGCTATGAACGGCATGTCTTATTAAAAGAAATTGCATTATTTTGTGATTGAGAAACAGCGTTTGAAGAGAAAATGTTTTCCTATATATGTTAATTAAAAAGCAGTTATGTTTAAATGAATGTTCATGTGAGAATGAGCTAACGATAAATCAAGACTGCATAATTAATGTAACATGAAGCGTATTCATATGTGACTGAGTGTTCATATGTAGTGCAGCTTTCTATGTTAAAAATAACACAGAAAAGAAGAAAATGTAATAAATTGATTTTAAAGTTAAAGATTTCAAACGTTAACTGTGTTAAATCAAGTATGTGTTAACGTTAGAGAGAGGATGATAAGGTGTGGCTGGACGTTGGGTGATTAAATGTTAACAACGTTGATTGGATGTCACCGTGGGTGAGACCAGATGTCATCTCATAAGATGTAACATACAGCAAGAAAGGGAGGAGGAAGGACGACCGGGTATAAAAGTGTTAGAAGAGATAAGTTGTTCTTCCCTTTGTCTTCTGTGAGATGAGCAGTACAGAAGATTGGATCTCAGAAATTCATAGTTGGATAACCCAGCAGAGATACTGCCCCAACTTTTAAATTGCTTTTTCTGTACTTACTTTTGTTTTGTTAGATTATAAAATCAAGAGGATTTCCACTAAGCATGAAACACTAGATAAGCACATCCTCAGGCTTGGTGTTCTCTCTCCAACCTTTCACCTCACAAAGATCAGAACAAAGCGAGCATTAGCTCAGAGTAGGTTAATTGAATAAACATAAGTGATTTGATTCTCTTTTTATCATTATTTGATTCTGCTTTCCTTTGCTCCTGCTAAATTCATTTAATAAAACATGCAATTAAAAAGTCTCAATTGTGGCCATTCCCTTTTTTGCCCTTTGTGAAAAAGGAAAGGTAGAAATCTGAGTATTAATCTACATTAGTACAAATAGCTCTCACACATTACCCCAGCCTTTAAAAGTAACAGACCCTTGAGGCTTAGTTTTGCAAGCCACTAAGCTAAACCCAGTTATAGTTCATGAGCACTGACCTACTAGTTGGGGACCTGCTGTTA